AAGAAAGAGAAGGGGAGGTGGGGGGGGGGGGGGGGGGGGGGAGGAGGAGCCGCCTGATTTTGTTGTTTTTTGTTATTCATATGAATTATTGTAATTTTGTACTTAAAATTCCAAAATTTCCGCTTAACTTAATGTTTTGGTCCATGTGATGATGGAATTTTTAAATATTAAATGATTGATAATTTGATCAGTTACTCAGTACTTGTTATCAAATAACTTTTTATTCTTACTTTAACGACTACTTTTTACTTTTACTTGAGTAAAATAGTCTGAAGTAGTGCTATTCTTACTTGAGTACAATTTATGGGCATTCTGCCCACATCTGTTTACGTGACTAGTTGAGTTTGGTAACTGTGTGAATCTGCTGCCGCTCATCAGCGCCCTCTAGTGGAGAGAACTTTTAGATCATGTCAGTTGAGAAGGAGCAGTAAAGAGGGTTGGTGCTGTGCTTTCCCGGTTTTGATGGGTTTTTTTTTGTTTGTTTTTATTTGGAGTTTGTACCACCTCCAGTGAATATCCAGGGCCATGATGACACGGCAGCCATTACATCTTCAACAAACAAGAACGCTGTTATCTAATACTTGGACCTATCGCTGTTATTTTCTGCTGCTGCTGTAACTCAACATATCCTGCTTCTTCCACCAACTGGAAGCTACAACACATGGCAGAGGTCAGAGTGTCTCTGCTGTCGTCTGTGTTTGTTGACAATAAGCCATGCTGCGGTTCTGCTTTCAGCTGTGTTGGGGTGGATGAAGACGATGCTCCGGACATCGACATCTATCACTGCCCAAACTGTGAGAAGACCCACGGCAAATCCACATGTGAGTAACTCCACTGATTCAGTAGGCCACTGGGTGGCAGTGTGGGCCTCCGTTTTAATGGCTTTAAACTTTTAATAAGATTGTGTTGAAGACAGACTCAACGTTTTAAGACTAAAAATGAGAAAATGCTTTTTTAAATTTATACACATCATGCAGTCTTTATTATTTCTTCTTGCTTCTGACTTTTCAGTGAAAAAGAAAAAGAACTGGAGCAAACACGACACGGGGCAAAGCACAGACATCCGGGCGGTTCAGAACGGCAGCCAGGTTTTCATCAAGGAGCTGCGCAGCCGAACGTTCCCCAGGTGAACACCTCTCCGTCCCGTTGATTGGTTCCGAGAACAGGCCTCTCAGTTCGCTCCACCTTCACACTGAACGACTGTTTTTGATGTTTGATGGCGAATTTCAAGAAAACCTCGCTGGAAATACTGGCGTGAAGCTATATATCACACTGAGTTGAGGGTTGCTATTTGGGGGAAGCGGGTTCCTAATGAGCACAACCATCATACATAGTTCCCTGAAGATGTTTTCATACTTTGAAACTTTAATGAATTTTGTTGGGTCTTTATCTGACAGATAGACACGTTGATATTAAGTGGACAGGAAATGATTCTTGGCTTCCACATTGTACTGACAAATGAAAATCTGACAGGTGGGATGGTCAGTGTGTAGAACCCACCTGTAGAGCCACAAGGACTGCATGTCATTTGGGGTTCCACTTCACCAACCTTGAACATCTACAGCACATGTGTCAAACTCGGGGCCTTGGGAGCCAAATCTGGAACGCTGTAGCTTTTTAGACTCCAAATTACATCAATAAATCCCTCCAGTTTTTCACAAATCCACAAAATTCACACAAAATCAACAAATTCCCACATTTTTAAAATGATTTTTACTGAAAATGTTTCTCCAAATTTGCCATAAACATTGGATTTAATGTGACTGTTGCCTCAGCCTCACTTGATGTCAAGTTATAGTTCGTGACTTTTTTAAAATCAAAAAGTTGCATTTAATGTCACACATTAGCGCAAGTGTCGTAAAAATTTCTTACAAATATTTATAAATTAGAATCATAAAATCTGTGATTTTGATTGTAAAAAACCCCACCAAAATAAATCATGAAATCCTAGATGGATTGACCAGGGTGAAAAGATGTTCAGTATTATTTAAGTTTAAGAAACAATTACTGAATGCTGAAACAAACAGCTACTTATTGATATTTTAACAGTTTAATGGGTTTCATTAGTACATTTTAGCACAACCGGTCCTTTAAGAACATTAAGATTTTTGATATGGCCTAGATTTTAGCGGTTGAAGAATGTCTCTTTTGTTGTTGGCTGAAGACCAAGAGCCATTTGTTCAGCTAGCGCCAGACTAGCTTGTTTGTTTTGGTTGTATTTTACCCACAATGCCCTGGCGCTGTAGTTTGCGTTTTGTTTTTGGAGCGGTCTCCGGTCCGCTTGGCGTTCACATATGCATTCGAACCACACCAGAACCACACTTCAGCCAAACTGAGATCAAAGAGTTTAGGCAGACAAGAGTTTTTATATATATATATATATATATATATATATATATATATATATATATATATATATATATATATATATATACACAAATCAGAGTTTGATTGCGCATTCACACCTCCCTAAATGAACCGGACCTTCCAGACAAACAAACTAGAGTTCGATTGAAGAGGACTGAACAAGACTGGTGGGAACGATCCTGCAGTTCTTGGTCTGGGTTCATGGGTCTCCATGATGCTGGTTGTTCTCTGAAGAACTTCTGCAGACAGAACAACTGGAGTAGTGGACACTACTTACAAATGAGCTCCACACTCTAGAGATATCTGCATGGAGAAGCCACACAAGGATGAATGAATGGATATGGATGGATTGTGAATTTTTAGCCTGTGTCTCACCACTTCCAGCTGCCTCCACATGGGGGTGCTGTGGTCCACCCTTCAGGCCCTGCTGTGCGTCAGTTATGGGGCCGATCTGGGTCCAGCCGGTCACAGTAAAACCAAGCTCCTCTCTCTTCCAGCGCTGACGACATCGTGGTGAAACTGAGCAGCAGTCAACTGACCCTGGACTACCTGGAGGAGAACGGCTTCAACGAACCCATCCTGGTTCAGAAGAAGGACGGTCTGGGCATGTCCATGCCTCCCCCAACCTTCTACATCAGTGATGTGGAGAAATACGTTGGTAGGAAGAAATTCCAACAGCCTAACTAAAGCTCCCTGTTGGCGTCAGGCCTTTGAGGAAATGTAAAAGCACCTGATTGGAGCGTTATATTTACCATTAAGATGGTACAACACATTATCTGTTCAATTTTAAAATGCCCTTACTTTAAACCAGGGGTCTTCACGCTGTGGCTCTGGGGCCAATGTGGCTCTTTAGACCTTCCATTATAATAACATCGGCTAAAAATGATAAAGAATCAGCCACTGTTTTTAAATCTGGATTTAATAACAAATGCACATTTTTGATTTCTAGTTGCTTTTTTTATATATTAAATAATTACATTGAATGTTCAGAATGATACTAAAAGTACCAATAATACTATTTTAGATCCATTTTTTAATTTCATAAGGTTGGAAATCATGTACTTTATTATATAATTTTCCACAAATATCAACATCCCATAGAAGAAGATTTTTCCATCCTTCTTTATTATACAACCTAAAAATAGATATAAAAAGTTGGTTATTTCCTTTTAGTGCAGGGCATGTGATTATCTGGCTGTAAATGTATGGATTTCTATTTTTCTATTTTTTTATTATTTCCTCATGTTTGGTTCCAAACATGGCTACCACCACCTGTTGACATAATTTGAAACAACTTAGTGAAATTCTGCTGTCTTAATAGCAACATGTTTCACATGACATAAAATTAATTTAACAGGACAAAGTGTTATGTGCCTCTGGAGTTCATGTAAGAGTTACACTTTTATTACTGAACTGTTTTAAATAACTAACAATATTTAATGATAGGATTATGCCATAGGGGTGCATGAGTAATTATAACAGATTAATGATATAAATTTAAAGCAGGATTTTATTCTGTTGATTCAAATGTATCTATAACAACAATATTTATCTATCCATCCATTTTCTTTACACCCTTGTCCCTTAGTGAGGTCAGGAGGGTTGCTGGTGCCTCCCCAGCTAATGTTCCAGGCAAGAGGCGGGGTCACTCTGGACAGGTCACCAGTCTGTCACAGGGCAACACAACCATGCACACACACCTAGGGACAATTTAGAGAAACCAATTGACCTACTTGACAGGTCATCTTTTTGGACTGTGGGAGGAAACCGGAGTACCCGGAGAAAACCCACGCATGCACAGGGAGAACATGCAAACTCCATGCAGAAAGACCGGGGCCGGGAATTGAACCCAGAACCTTCTTGCTGCAAGGCAACAGCTCTACCAACTGCACCACAATAGTTATCTGAATGTGTTCATTCTGCTGAACTGTCAAAGGAAACGTTAGTTTTTTTTTTTTTTTGCTTCCTGTTGGAAACTATATAAAGTTGAATTGTTTACAGAGCAGCAGGAGTAGGGATAAAAGCAATGAAGGAAAGCAAAAGTTCCGAACACGGAGCTGGGAATCTGACCTGCACGCAGTGCCATGTGATCTCCAACAGGGGGAGCACCTGCATTTGTTTGGGTGCTCTCTCTGTTTGAGACAGAGATGCGCTCGGCTCCACTGACTTCATCTGTAGGTTCTGTGTCTTATCGCGTCTTGTCCTGCTGTCTCAGGTCCAGACGTCCCCGTGGACGTGGTGGACGTCACCAAACAGACCGACAGCCAGATGAAGCTCAAAGAGTTTGTTGACTATTACTACAGCACAAACAGGAAGAAGGTTTTGAACGTCATCAACCTCGAGTTCTCAGACACCAGGTAACGGCTCGCTGTCTCGACGGTGACGTTTGAAAACAGGAAATGTTTTCTTCCAAACTGAAAGCCACTTTTTGTTCCCTCCCCGTCTCCACCCAGAATGAGCTCTGTAGTGGAGAGCCCTCAGATTGTACGGCGGCTGTCCTGGGTAGAAAACTACTGGCCCGACGACGCCCTGCTGGGGAAGCCGAAGGTCACCAAATACTGCCTCATCTGCGTGAAAGACAGCTACACCGACTTCCACATCGAATGTGGCGGCGCCTCGGTGTGGTACCACGTCCTGAAGGTGGGTGGCGGTCGGGCCGCGGAGCGGTCACTCAACCCTTCCTCAATGCAACCACAGCCCATGATGCTGAAAACGTGCTCATGTCCGCAGGGAGAGAAGATCTTCTTCCTCATCAAGCCCACCTCGGCCAACCTGTCTCTGTACGAGCGCTGGAGGTCGTCGTCCAATCACGGAGAGATGTTCTTCGCCGACCAGGTGGACAAGTGTTACAAATGCACCCTGAAGCAAGGCCAGACGCTGTTTGTCCCGTCAGGTCAGAGTCCGTCTCGCTCCGCGCTCAGGAAATGAGAAGAACTGGTGTGGAGTAATTTTAGGAGCACATGTGCTGAAACCCCGTCTAAAAACTCGTTTCAGAATCATGAAATATGCTCAAGAAGATTCCAGGGGTGCACGAGATTATCGGTATCGTCTGATATTAGCTGTAAAATATAATATCGGACATCAGCCATTCTGTCAAAATAATTAACTGATATAAAAAGGCATTGTTCTTATATGACAAACCAGTGAAATGATGTCTGCAGCACAGCAGAACATCATGCATCATAAGTATTAATGCATGATTTTTTACTTGTTGCTTGTGAACATGTTGAGTTTAGTTTTGTGAAGATTTTCAAATTTGCACTGTTTGATTGTTGTCATCATTGTCTTAGAGAGAGCTGACATCATGAATAAATTTGACATTAAACATAATGTAAGTTCAAAGTGTTGCATCATCTTCATCAGCCTCCTTTTTAGCTTTTGCATTTGCAGCAGGCTAACTTGACAAAGATAATTCAGTATTTTAATTCCACAGTAGAGAAAGCCATGTAGTTTCAGTAACTAGGTATAGGAAAAAATATCAGCATTCGTATCGGTTTTTGGCCAAATGAGTTTTAATATATTGACGTATCGGATATCGATCAAAAATCCAATATCATGCATCCCTAGAAGATTCATTCTTTGACTATTTGACAGTAAATTAAATCCAAGCAGGCGTATTCTTTTGTTCTCATCACCGGTCCTGGGTTCAGCCTTTAGAAATGTTTAATTGATTGTGTTGTTTCTTCAGGATGGATCAACGCAGTGCTGACTCCAGTCGACTGCCTGGCTTTCTCCGGACACTTCGTCCACAACCTGAGTGTGGAGATGCAGATGAGGTTTGGCGTCCTGTCTTGCGCCACACACTCAACACAGACATAACATAAAGCTTATGAACAAGGCCAACATTTGCTTGTTTGGACTGAGACGACTCTAGAGTCAAGGAGGTGGAATTGCTTTTTGACTCTAGACAGTAAAAGTGTGAACAATGTGACATTACAGCTTCATGTTCATGAGGAACTAAAGACACGGCCCGTAGATAGTCCCAAAATTCTGATGTCAGATTAAAACACAAGAACTCTTCATATCTCCCTCCTACTGCTGCATTTGTTTAGATTAGCTGACAGCTGTCCTGTGGTGACGCCACGGAGGCACTAGAGGGTACTGTTGTTCCCCCTAAAGAAATCATAACCCCCTCATAGAACCTCCAAGAAAATGATTATTATTTTCTTTCTCCATCTAACATGGGAACAATTTCTTGTTGTAAGTGAAATAATCTGCCAGTGGAACTTTTTTTTTCATCACTTTTTCATCAATATTAAGGAATTATGTGCTTAAAACAAGGTCCTATATCCTGCTGAAAAGTTACTTATGTTAGTTTTGCCTGAGTTGTTTGCACCAGAAACTAGCCCACATCACAATCATTTCCACGAGTAAAAAAAATATGACATAGCTTTAACTTTGCATTACTACCCATTTGGTAGTTTCCCTTTGGCCTCTCGCAGTTGTTGTTGCTTAATGCATGTAACCTGCGTGGTGTTTAGTTAAAACATGCTTTACTCTCCTCAGAGCGTATGAAATTGAGAAGAGGTTGAAGGTCAAGACTCTCACCCCGTTCCCCAACTTTGAGACGGCGTGCTGGTATGTGGGGCGCCACTTATTGGAGCGGTTCAAAGGTGAGCTCTTGATCACTGCAGGAAGTAGGTTTTTTTTTTACATCAGCTTGTGGCCATGTTCACAGAAACGTTTCTTTCCTCTTGAAGTTTCCAGAAGAATGCGTGAAGCAGAGAAAAACGCAAACAGTCAGGAAAAGGCTCTTTTTGTTTTTCTTTCACAGCACAGCGTTGTGTCTGCCGTGCAGATGACGAGCTGGATGCTCTAATATTGTTTCAGTCATTAAATCGGTGGATGGGAGAGAGAGCAGATGATTAGCTTCAAAAGGCCTGGCCCCTGTTAGAATGACTTGCTTCATTGCAAGCCAGTGTTCCAACTCCCCTCAGCTGGCCTGGACCAACTGTTTATGCTTGCAGCCTTGTCGGGGTAATGACTTCCTGTTTATCAAAGCTCCGCTGCTTCTCTGGGTCCTGCACGACACTTTTACCCCACAAAGCTGTGCTGTTAGCACACCGTCATTCATTTTAGCCTCATGGGGTTAGCTTTTTCGCCACAGAGAAACCTTTGGAGAAGTTCGAATTAGGGATGCACTGATTGCAGTTCTTTGGCCAATCACCAGTCTTTAAAAAGCCTGACCTGCCGATTCCGATTTTGGCCAAAATAATTTTACATTTTTTTTGTCTTAAATGTCGCTAAATATAGCAAAAAAGTTAGCTGCAAATGTGCAAACATGACCTGGATGGCAGGGCTGAAGGTCAAACTTCTCTCACGGAAGAGCAGAAGAGGACAACGAATGACTTCTAGATCTTTGCTGAGGTAGATGCGATCGGAGGATAAGATCGGCTTCTTCTTCAGCCAGTACTTATTCATAGTACTGGCTGAAGAACATTCAGCCAGTACTATGTAAGTACTGGCTGATCACCGATCTTCCAAAATTAAGGAAACGAGTGTCGATAAATTGATGCGCCCCAATCTGTAACTCCATCTTTGTGGTGGTTGACAAACCGTTGAGCGTGCTCTCTACGTGTGACGTTATTGCGCCCTCTACTGCGTGTGTGCGACACTTTCAGGTCGTTTTGCAGTTCACACTGGACATCAGATACAAGTTCCATATACTGGAAGCACCAAAAAGAAATCCTATATCTCAAAACATCGGAATCGAGCATTAAAGTGCAGTTTGAACACAGCTTTACGGTCAATGTGATGGTGCTGCATAGATCTTCTGAGGTTCAAGTTCTGTTACTAGATGGCAAAAAAAAACTTTTCTATCCATTTTCTTTACAGCCTCTTTCTCAAGGCTCTGTACAACATTACAGAAAAGTTAATTCAGTCTAATCACACAGACAGATTCCAAGTAAAGTGCATCCTGTTTGATCCTATCAACAATAAACAATCTGCTATGTTTGGGTTTATCACTCAAACTGGTAAAATAAAATAAGTGTCTATGTGCAGCATTCAGTCCTCCTGGACAAACTTGGTGTTTTGTCGTTGACTCTCCATCAGTCCCTCATACCCACCATGATGTTCTTAATCTATAGGTTTACACAAAGCCAATAAGCAGCCAGCTCCATACCTGATACACGGTGCCAAAATCATCAACGGAGCCTTCAGAGCGTGGACTAAAAAGCAGGTATGGAGAGTGAAACATCAGCTTCCTGCGGCGTTCCCGGCGTTCCCACGTCACCGCAACTCTGCTTGTTTCTGCTCGTAACAGGCTCTCCTGGAACACGAAGATGAGCTACCAGAGAACATGAAACCTTCCCAGCTCATCAAGGACCTCGCCAAAGAGATCAGGCTGTCAGAGGTAACTTTGACTTTATAGAGAGAGAGTGACATCAGGGAAGATTTGAAGTCTTTACTTTAGCTGCGCTCTGCCTCATTTCGCATGCAATACGAGGCTTTAGAGTGGAAACTGAAACATTCATCTCAAACTCCTATAACACATCAAAATCAAACATTATAACGTTACTTCTGTGAAGTCCTGTGGTGAAAAAGGCTGCTGCTGCTTAGCAACATCGCAAGGCCGGTCACAATATCGAATTTTGCCGGACGATAAATTGTACCAGAGGTTATCGCGATAAAGAATAATATTGTTGTTTTGAGACCATTTTCAGGTAATATAACGCAGGACCACGTTCTCAGAGAGCAATAAACTTTACATTCTAATGAACATTTCAAAACTGCAACTGGAAGACATTTTAAATGTCCAAAATAAAGAAAAAAATCAACAAATAAAATGAATTGTGAAGTCACTGGGAACAAAACTGTCCTTCAAAATAAGAGCTGGTCGAGACCAAAGCACCAGACTAAAGACTTGAAGAAGAAATGAAAATTATTGAGTTCATTTTAATTTATCATGAGATTAATTGATTCATTGAGACAAGAGTAAATATCTTTATGAGTCAACAAATACTATAAAAATAATGTTTAATCCCAGTTTGTGTTGTTATGAAAGACATATTCATCAACCGAAATGATTGTAAGATGAACACGTCTGAGATGACTTCAGCAACGTTCTCTTTGTATCTCTGCTCTCTCTACCAGAACGCAACAAAAGCCATTAAGAGCGAGCCGAGCATCAAGGCACCCGTGGAGGAACCAGCATTTACCCACTCCGAGCCCGACGAGCCCGTTTCCCCGGCAACTATCCCGTCTCCCAGCAGAGAAAAACCCAAGAAAAAAGCCCCCAAATCCCAGAAGCCTCCAAAGGCGCCGAAGGCCCCCAAACCCCCGAAGGTGAAAGACGGGGAGAAGAAGAAAGTGAAAAAGATAAAGGAGTTGTCGCCGCCTCCGAAGCCTTCCAGCTTTGCCGCCCTCGAGTCTCACGCCAAGGAGATCTTGAGTCAAATGGACCAGCAAAAGAAGCCAAGGGTGAGCACATTTAAAGTAAAAAAATGTGATTGCATTTAGATATTTTGTTTCCATAATCCCCATCCTTTTAAGAACATTCAGATTTTTGATATGGCCCAATATAAAAATGAGTTTGAGACCCCAGCTCTCTGCCTTTGTCAGATTCCAGGTTCTTCTGTTAAACTTTGTGTCTCTGTTTTAAACTCCCAGGTTGTTAAAAATGTCCTGAGTGTGTCCGAGAAGGAAACGTCAAAGCAGAACAACATGGACAAGTTCGAAATCAGAGAGCAAAACAAAAACAAGACAGAAGCCAAATGGAAGTACAAGGTACGTTTTATTATCATTTCTGCTTTTTGCATGCCAGCGTAAAAAAGCATCTCCGTTCGCTCTAAGCTGAACCAAACGTTTGCCCATGTTCTTTCCAAAAAGTCGCAAGCCGATAGGCTGAACTGACAAAAAAAAAAAAAAAGAAAAAACCCTGAATCATCTAAAAGCAATTTGCAAACTTCAAAGCAGGAATTAACAACGATGATATGGCCAAGTCTTACATTTCGGCTCTGCAGTCCATCATCCGCCCTCTCGGAGTTTACTTAATGGAATTAAGCCATGTCCACATCCAAACACCTTCCATTTAAGTGCTTACACATGTCCACATGGAAAAAAAAAAAGTGTTGTGTGATCATCGCTGAATAATTGGAGGAAGCTTTTTGGGGGGAACAAAAGTGTAATTTCGTCAAACAGAAGACATTAGAGAGCTTCAGTTTCACGGAAAATGTAATGCCAGACTGCTGAGGAATGTTCGCAGCCTCTCCGCTAGCCGCTCCGCTGCTTCGCATCAGGCCAAGCATTTACAGATGGAGAGGAGATCATCGCTAGGTCTTCACCAAGGTTACTGCAGAACCCTTTTCCTTTTAACTTGCATTAAAAAAAAAAAGTCAAAGAAACAAAGACGCAGCCCCTGTGTACGTCTTGTGCTAGCTATTAATCGTCTCCAGAATGTTAGGGCTGATTAGAAAGAAAGGCATCCTGAATTACAATCTCAGCATACACAATGCTGTCACACGCCTTTAATTAAAGAAGCAGGAATGTTTAATGTTTTAAACACTCGGCGGCGGATGCTTGATTACAGAGTCCGCTCAGCTTTTTATGGCTGCCATTTTGGATTTGCCGTGCAACATCTGGATTGGCACGAAGCAGGTCAGAAGGTTCTGAATGTGTCATCTGGGAACATTAGCACTCTGACCATTAGCGGTTAGCTTGTTTTCACTGATAATTAGACAGTTGATCCTAATAACCATCTCAGCCTGAATAGGGAGAGCAAAATATCAGAAAAGATGGACTTTTCATATTGGGATGATAACGACGGGAATAATCTCCCATGTTCTGGTTCGAGTTTGTTTTTTTTCACCTACATGACATTCTGCTCATCTCTTGACTTTCAGAAATTTCCCCACTGTGGAGCAGTAAAGGATATTTGTTTTGTCAAATTGAATGCGTTACAACATTACATTTTTTTTTTTGGAAAATGAACTTTGTCAAACTGAATTTGTGAACTGAATTAAATTGAATGGAAAAGTGGTTCTGATACCCCAGTAGTAGTGGTGCACCGATTCCCCGTTTTCTGGCCAATCGCTGATTACCAATTTTTAAAAATCCTGACCTGCCGATTCCTATTTTGGCCGATACCAATTTTTTTAGTCTGAATTGTTGCTAAATATAACTAAGCGACTATTGTTAACTGCAAACATGCAGACATGACCTGGTGGGCGGGGCTAACAGTCAAACCTCTCACAGGAGAGTAGAAGAGGACAGTGGATGATCTTTAGACCTTTGCTGAGGTAGATAAGATCGGCTTCACGTTTAAGCAATGGCCGATCAGCGATCTTCCAAAATTAAGGAAGTCAGCGTCGATAAATCGACCTTACTTTTTTAAAAAATCACTATTTTTTTATTTAAATGTTGTTTTAAATGTCTAAAGAAAACCTCCCAGCTTCGTGGACTGCTGTACCTGCAATGACTTGGTGCCGTTATGTTCTGTGAATGCCTTGTCACTTGATACCGTACACTTGCATTACTTCTGCTTCCCTAAGTATTACTTTGATTGGACCATTACAGAACAGTAAGCCGGATTCCTTGCTGAAAATGGAGGAGGAGTGCAAGTTTGACAGAATACCGCTGTCAGGCAATAAAGACAGATTCAGCTTTACTATGTCTCACAGGAAACTAGCCAGGTACGTATGGCATGGCCTCCACTCCCAAGTAAATACTTTATGTTAGGCTTGAAGAGTCAGGCCTTCTGATGTGGTCTATTATGGTGATTATGGAGCCATGTGGCAATCAGCACGATATCCATTAAAGCTAACTGGAGGGTTTCTCACTGTCATTGCCTCGCTCAGCTTATTCTCCTGCGGTTTCTGTTCCAGCTCCAAGACGCTGAAACCTCAGACCAACTCAAGTATTTTCGGATCGTTACAAAACCTAAAAGAGGACAAAACCAAGCCAGTGAGAGACGAGTATGAGTACGTCTCGGATGAGGGCGAGCTGAAGATAGATGAGTTCCCCATCAGGCGGAAAAAGAACACCGTTAAGAGAGATCTTTCCTGTGAGTGTTTTCAGATTAAGCGTGTAGTGTTTCACTTTTGTTTAAGCCTATAACCATGGTGGGTACAAATGCATTTCACAGCATCAGTTTTAAGTACCTTAACTTAATTTTATGCAAGTTAAAGTTCCTTTGACTGCAGCTTGACATTCCTCAGTCAAAGCCAGAGGTGGGAGGAGCGCCCAAAGATTGTACTCAAGTAAGAGTAGAACTACTTCAACAAGTTTTCACTCAAGTAAAAAGTAGCCGTCCAAGAAATTACTCATGTAAGACTAAAACAAAGTATTTGGTAAGTAAAAAGTATTTAGTAAGAGTAACTGATCAAATTATCAATCATTTAGTATTTTTTTAAAAATGACATAATCAGATGGACCAAAATATAAAGTTAAGTGGAAATTTTGGCATTTTAAGAAAGAAAAATGATGATTCATATCAGTAAAAAAAATTGTTTTTTAAAAGGCAACAAAACATTTTTCTAAATCAGTTTCTTTCGATAAAAAAAAAACATCAGGTGTGTGTCTATGTCTGGTGAATTGTTGGTTAAAACATGTTTGTTCTTCATGTAGTGGGTTGAGAATCCAGAAATTTTACTCAACTAAGAGTAGAAATACTTCATCAAGTAAAAGTAAAAAGTACAGCGTAGTAAAAATACTCTTAACAGTACTTTTATTTTTTTCCAAAAATTTACTAAAGTGAATGTAATCAAATAAATGTAACTATGTACTGTTTTTTTTCTTTTTTTTCAAAAATGTCTTTCTCTTTCTTACTGTTTAATCAATGTCACATGCTGTTTTCATTTTAATTATGCAAAGCACTTTGAAATGCTTTGCTGCTGAAATGTGCTACACAAATAAAATTTGATTGATTGATTGATGTACTACCCAACTCTAGTTAAAGAGGAAAGTGAGCGAGCGTCTTGAACCAGTTTTAGCCCGTCATCCATTATCCTCAGTTAAACTCCTGTCTTCTCATATGACCAGTTCTTAGAATGTTTTATGGTTCATACATTCATACATTTTCGGGGAATGTTATGAAATGGAAAAGAAGAAATGTTATTCTAGTCTAATCATACACACTGGAGCTAATCATCTGGCCAAACAGAAATGACAAATTCTGAAAAATGACTTCCAACATCATATAAGCATAATTGAAAAGCTGAAAACAAAAGTTTTTGTCAGTGGACCAGTTCTTGATGTGGAGCAGAGAATGACAGCAGACTGCTCACCATTAAAAATGGCTTTTTAAAGAATACTCTTCTAGCAGGAACGATCTTAACCAGGGAAAGGACTTTCCAACGATGCTGGAAAGATTCAACAGCAGGACCGTAATCAAGTCCAGAGGATGCACTCTGGACTTGATTATCAGTAAGATCTCAACCACAGGACAATGCAAACAACAAGATGCCTGTCCCAGCACAGATTGTAGAAGGACAAGCACAGATTCAGCAGACACACACTGTCCCCAAACAAACTGATATGTATGGAAACAAAGCTGCTGAGGCTTCAAATGGTCCCACTCCTTCAGCACCCAATGAGAGCCAAGACTCTTTATCGGAGGCCTCGTCTCATCAACGCCAGGACGGCTCGTCAGAAATTTTGTCAACTGAACTGACGTTTCTTATCTTTAGTGAGGAAATGGATCGTCAGTTTTCTCTAGGTACTTCTCTCCTGAACGCCCCCCCATGGATAAAATGAACGACCAAGTTCTGCTTGCTACTGTTCTCCTTAGTGCTCAAAACTTCATCAAAACCACCTGACTCTGATTCCTCAGAGCACCCACCACTCTGCATAACAGAGGTCTGAGACCAGGGTCCAGACTTTAGCTCTACACCTGCCTTCCTCCAGCAGTACGATACGGGACAGTACCTGTCTGGATCACCAACAGAACACTGACAAGAAACAGGAAAGCAGGAAATGCAGTGATGAGAAATCAAACCTCGGATTCACCTCCTGTCTAAAGCCAACCTCAAATTCATGAACTATCTGCCACCAAGCCACTTAAACTGCCTCTGCTCAACATGAGACCACTATCGGCAAAAGGACTATTTGTTAATGATTTCATCACTGAGCAGAATATCGGTGTTATGATGCTGACAGAAACATGGTTGGATGACAATAACAAATCACCTGGACTAACTGAATCAACACCTCATAATTACAATTTATTAAGCAAGAGTACAAAACATAAAAAGAAAAGGAGGGTTTGCTATAATATTTCACGAGTCACTAAACTGTAAAAAGGTCTTTCAAGACAGATTACGTAAATTATTTTGAATATCTGGGAATTGAGGTAAAGTGCAGTAAAGGTGCTCAGACACTTCATACAAAACTGTGTGGAAATTTTCTTCATTGACTTCAGTGCATTCCTGTCTGTTATGCATTGATTATGACGGTTTAATAACGTGTTGCCGTTTATCAGAACCTGTTCTACTCTGACGTTTCTGAATGAACTCTTCTTTCTTGCCCAGTTTTATCGGACATCAGAGAACCCCTTCAGCTGGCCAAAAAGGCGAAGTCCCAACCCTTAGTGACTAAGGTACGTATGCCTGACCAGAACCTGAAACTGCTTCTGCAAAACACTACTACATCTGATATGTAAGAAGCTGTGACTTGATTGCAGACATATTATTAAAAGTGTGAGAAATGCTTCCAGAGCAATTCAAAGGTGAAATATGTTTGGTGGGGATCGCTGAGGGGAAGTAGGTTTTGTCTGAATGGAAGAATTAGTCCCGATGTTCCCATATCTCACTCTGTATCTGGATAGAATAACAGATAAAGGATGAACATGTAAGTTTATCCTGGGTTTTTCAGGGTTTATATGGGGTCTGAATATTTCAGTTTTAGGCCTTAAAAGGCTCAAATCGGCAATCATCTGATGCAACTGATACTCCAGAATGACTTAGAGTCTGGAACATCCAGCACAATGAATGACGCTTTCGACCAAATGTCAGAAGAAGTACTGAAGCTTTGGTGGGTGCAAAACCACTTTACAGCTTTAGTGGGACTCGGCAGTAATCTGTTGAAGGACATCCTAGGGCTGATTCGGAACATTTGAGTTGGGACACGGATCCTGGACGTTTAGGTGCTGATTGTCCTTTAAAAGCCGAAGTTACCTCACTAAAACGGAAATTCTTCTGGTACCTAGAAGACTTCAATTACTGTGAAAGGCCGACAGAATGCATGCTTTTGCCTCGGGCCGCTTCCCGTTAAACTCTCTCGTAAACATGTTTCTTCTTTGTGTCACTTCCTGCGCCAGCAGAGCGTGGACTCCTCAGACGAAGAGACCCTGCACATAGACACGGAGGCCAAGCCTGAGGTCAAGAGTCGCAACTCCAAGGTGAAGAAGAAGAGCGGAAGTGCCGCAGGGATCCTGGACCTGCTGCAGGCCAGCAAACAAGTGGGCGGGATCGACTACAACACCAACAGGTAGGGCAGATACCACCACATGAAACCCGAGGGAGGGAAGCTAGCCCCCTCGCCTTCTTCACATCTAACAAAATTGGTGTCAAACGTTTGTGCTGGTTTGTGCAGCAAAGATTTTTGTTTGTGCCGCTATCATCTTAAACATATGGTGACATTTCATGACCTCTGAAAACATTTATCATTAATCTTTAAAATTGTAGAGGCACAAACCAAAAGTTTTGCTGCACAAGGCAGCACAAATGTTTGACACCAATTTCGTTAACCTAAGTGAAATTGCCCCCCCGCACCCGCTCCCACAGCTTCAAACAAATTTGGTGTCAAATCTTTGTGCTGCAAAAATTTTAGTTTGTGCCGCTGTCATTTTAAAGACATTAATAAATGTTTCCAGAGGTCATGAAAGGTCAACCAGCCCCCTCCCCCACCTTCTTCAAATTAGACAACATTGGTGCCAATCAACTCGACTACGTTTACGCAGCAAACATTTTCATTTGTGCCACTTTGGCTTTGAAGGTATTAAAGAAAGTTTAAAGGTCAAAAGGTCAATAACAACCCCTCCCCCCAAAATTTGCTTTAAATCAAACAAGATTTATGTCAAACATTTGTCCTACGTTTGTGCAGCAAAGAAAAATGTTTCTCTGGAAACATTTATTAATATCTTTAAGACGTTTGTGCCTTTTGAAGCACTAATATTTGACACTAGTTTCGCTTTAAGAAGGTGGGGTAATGGGTGGGGGGGCAGCTTCACTCAGGTTCACATGAAGCCCCCCTATGTCCCTCCCTTCTCCTGGGCAGTATCGCATGCACAGCATTAATCTCTTAATGGACCCCCTGAGACCCGCTTTCTTCTCAGCAAATGAATTTCTGGCCTCTTTAATGGGCCGAGTCTCTGACAAACAAACGAGCCGCTCTGTGATCGAATAAAAGAGTTGAGTTTTCTCATTTTTTCTCGGAGCTGAAAGGCAACAGGCGGTTTACAAATACTCCGTCAGCAGTTTGTGTTAAATCAGTGTTTGCATCCCGTCCCACACTAATCTATCAAGGCCTCCATGGCTCCAGGCGCTTCCTTCTGCCTCACTCTGTTTGCTGTTTCCCTTCACCTCTTGATGGTCTATTTCCACCACACTGAAAGCTACAAATGAGGAATGAAAGAGAGAAACAAAACATTGTTGAAATATGTTCATTTTTCGGAAAGTTTCAGTGCTTTGAACAGGGGCTGAAGCGATTACCGGGTATTATTGGGATGTTTGATAGTGGATTTGTCATGTGGGTCGCTGACTGGCTTTCCTCTTAAGGCGTTTTGTTTATGTTCAGATTCCAACTTCATGTTCAAACCGCATATTTACACGCAGTGCATAAAAAGACGTGTAACCGTTATGACTAAAGGTTTTTTGTTTTGGTTCCATTAGAATTAGAAAAAAATCAATTTGCCAAAACAGGAGAAACAGACTGCCATCTTGCATGGCACCGTAAAACACACGTACCGTGTACGTTTTGTATGCTTGTAGGTTTTTTTATTTTATTTATTTTATTTTTTACATGTTTCTGTCTTAGTGTACAGCACTTCGGCCAGGTTAGAGTAGGGGTAGAAATGAATGGAAGTCAATGGAAAGTCCCCACAAAGATAGCCACACAAATGTGTGTGTGAGTGAGGAAGCCTACACACCTAAAGTGCTCCTCTGGTTCCTTGTCAGGACCGCAGGTGGACAGAGGTCCAAAAAATTGTACTCAAGTAAGAGTAACACTACTTCAACATATTTTTACTCAAGCAAATGTAAAAGGTAGCCATCTAACAAATTTTTGAAGTAAGAGTAAAAATAAAGTCTATTCAAGTACAGAGTAACTGATCAAATTATCAATTATTTAATACTTAAAAATGACCTCATCAGACAGACCAAAACATAAAGTTTTGTGGAAATTATGGTATTTTAAGGACCAAAAGGACAATAATTCATACAAGTAACAAACAATAACAAAATCAGGCAGAATTATATTTTTTCTAAATCAGTTTCTATCAATATAAAACTTATGAAACTTTAACAAAAATTGCAGCTGTGTGTCTGTGTCTGGTGAATGTTTGGTTAAAACAGGTTTGTTCTTCATTCATTGAGTAGAGAATAAAGAAATTTCACTCAAGAGCAGAAATATTTCATAATAAAATTACTTAAATAAATGTAACTGAGTGAAAGTAGCTAGTTCTGACTCTTATCAGGAGAAATGAGACAAAATTCCAGCAAATTACAGTGACAAGCCTGTTAAAGGAAACTGGACCCAAATCATAGTTTAATCTACCAAACATCTCTCTCTCTCTTATTATTCTCATATTTGACAAACAGAAATAAACATGGTAATAGATCTAAAATGGGAACAGTTTAATCAAATTTTATGATGTACGGTAAGAAAGAAGGTTGCCTGTCTTTTTGTACAGTGTATATCTGGTTTCAGATGGCATTTTTCTTGATGCCAGTTGACATGTAACGGGTTGTTCTGTTTGGTGCTCATTCCCCTGCAGCCAGCCGCCTGCGTCTCCCAGCACACAGGAGGCCATCCAGGGCATGCTGTCCATGGCCAACCTGTCCTCCTCGGAGACCCTGGAGCAGCCGTGGAGCAACAGCCAGTCGAAGAGCAACTCGCACGGCTCGCAGGCGTACAAGAAGAGTGGCGCGGGAGCCGGCGGGAGCAGCAACAACAAGCGGCCCACCAAGAGGCTCCCGAAGAAACCCCGAAAAAGCAGCAGCATCGAGAGCCTGGACTACGACGACGACGAGCAGGATCACATGGATGCGTGTTTCAAGGATTCAGACTATGGTAGGCAGAAGAAAAATGTCCATCTTTTCACTGAAAGAAAGAAAATTTGGTGAAATGTTAAAGTTGGCTTTATTTTGAAAAATCAACTCCGCTCTGGCTACTGTGCACTGCGCTGCTCTCAGGAGTGAAGAAAAACCAGAGATGACGGTTTGAAGTAGAGGGAGAGGAAACACAGCAAAAACACAAAATCAAATTTTTGGTGTAGTTTCTAATGCAAATATTTTAATACACTTGAAATAAGACAAAACTAACTTATAACATGAAAGAATGACCTTTTTAGTCAAATAATCTGTCAATGGAACTAGAATTTTTTTCATCAATTTTAAGGAATTTGGCTGCGTTCACACTGCAGCCTGAAGTGACCCAATTCCAATTTCTTTGCCTTAATGCTACCTGTATCTGATCTGTTCATGACAGTCTGAACAACAAAAGTCGGACTTTTTTTTTTTTTTTCGAATGCGACCCAGGTCACTTGGGTGTCTGATTCAAAAGTGACCTAACGTCCAGGTCGCGTTCATCCAACCTGAATGTCACCGATACTCAACGAATGTCACTATTCTGATATGAGCAAACAGGAAGAAAACCAACAACCATGATGGACTGTAATGAGGGTTAAGTTGTTAATAAGCTGCTCAAGTTGGACAACAGCTTCAAAATCGTAAGATGCTCCACCATTAGAATCCATGTTTACTTCTGCAAACACTGAGAACGCCGACGTTATTGCGCCCTTTTACTGCGCATGCGGGACACTTTCAGGTCGTTTGCCCTGTTCACACTGGAGTTCACATACAGGTCGCATATGTTTGGAAGTATGAACGGCCACGGCAAAAAAAAAATATATATCCGATTTCAAAAAAAATCAGACTTAGGTCACTTCAGGCTGCAGTGTGAACGCAGCCTTAGAGACTTAAAACGAACTCAAGTGTACTAAGATATTTGCACTAGCAACTGGAGAAAACTTACTTGGTAAAATTGAGTGTTTTTACAGTGTGTTGTTTGTGGAGCGAATGACAGCAGCTCTGACGTCAAATTGATATTTCACAGCAAAATGATCAAATAATTACATTCCCTGGTTGAATTTTTTTTTCTTTTTTTTGCTGATGGTAACAGGTGGTGCTAAAAACAAACCGACTCCTGATGAATGGGCCCCCGACTCTTTTACTTCTTACCTCTTGTAGCCGGAGAACGTTTCATTTGGAGCGGATGATGGGAGCTAATGTTTATTCTTCTGTGTGTTGTTTCCAAATGCTCTCCATCGCGTCGCCCAGCTTTCTTTGTGAAGCCCGTCCAAGCGCAGCTGTTTGAACCGAGCGCTCTTGTTAAGAAGCCATTAACACTCGTTGCGAACTGTTGTTTTACTTGCTTTTTGAACTCCTAATTAGAGTCTAATTAGTTGTTCGTAGCACGAACATTCCTGCCGTGTAATCCCGGGGCCGGGCCGGAGCTGCAGTCTACTCTGCCTCTGTAAACAGGCCATTCTTTATCTTGATCACCCAGTTATCAGATATTTAAGTCTAGATTGGGATGATCATGCCGTGAGCAGGCTGAGAGCGGAAAGCGGCCAACAGCTGGCCAACAGCTGTCCTGCAGGCCACCGCTGGAAATATCTTCCATGTTAGAAAACACAACCGAACGAGGAACCGTCTTGTTTTTCGTTGTTCTTCTTTTTCTTTTTCTTTGTTCACTGATATTCGTTATCTTGATAAACGTAACATCACATTGGCCTGTATCAACGTAACGTTACAAACCAACATTACATTGCTGGTCTGTAATGTTGGTTCTATGTGCACTAATTTGTAGAAAAAAAAAGAAAAGAGGTGTAGAAAACTTAAAATAAAGTCAACTTTTTAGTTAAAAAAACTACTGACCGGACCTTAGCTGGCGTCCCGTCAGCGGAGAATCACGCTTGTCCTGCCAGTCACGCGCTGCCTGTTTGGGTTTCAGTTTACCCATCGTTGGAGTCTGAAGAGGACAATCCCGTTTTCAAATCGAGATCCAAAAAGCGGAAAAGCAGCGACGACACTCCGTACAGCCCGACAGGTAAGCACCGCGCCGCTTCACTCTTCTCACTCATGCTCCCGAGTCCTAAAAGCTCTGTGGTTGCAGCGCGGGTCGGACCCTCGGTTCCTCGGCACGAGCGACCGGCGAGAGAAGGTGCCCGCGTGGCTTCCATCGAAACGGGGCTGGCTGCCGCCGCAGCCAAGCTGTCTCACCAGGTAGGCACCCCGGAGCGCCGGAGCAGGCGGATGCTCGTCGCCCCGGTAACCGTGTGTCATGTGTCCTGCAGGAGGAGCAGCAGAGAACCAAGAAGAAAAAGAAAAGCGGCAAGAAGAAGAGCGCAGCGGTGGAGGAGCCGCCAAAACACTCTCAGGACAGCAGCTCCCCGGACCACAACGCCGACTCGCAGGACGGCAGCCTGACCGACCACGAGTTCACCACCGGCACCGCCAAGTCCCCGGGCGGGCCGCAGCCCATGGCGCCGGGGATCTTCCTCAGCCAGAGGCGGCCGTCCGTGTCCTCCCCCAACAACAGCACCAACTCCACAAGTACCAACAGCAGCAGCGCCGCCAGGGCGGACCGACTGGGCCCCGCAGACGCCAAAGGTCCGCACCAAAACTTTTTTCTGTCCTGCGTCAGATTATCAAAATTATTTCTGTAACTTTATGAAAATATATGTACTTGAGATTTTGCCGACATGTGTTTGACCGTTCAACCGTGTCTACTAGCTTCTCTCTCTTTAGCTATTAACTGGTTGTCTAGTGAATAGAATAGAATTAAATAGGAAAATAGAATAGAGCAGAATAGTAAAGAATAGAATATTAATTGACAAGTTGCACCATCCAAAGTGTTAAATAGTAGTAGTACAAATATAATCATAAGCGATAAAATTGTGTGTGTGTACAGGTGCTGGTCATAAAATTAGAATATTGTGATAAAGTTCATTATTTTCCATAATGTCATGATAAAAATTAAA